CCGGCGTAGAGAGAGGGGTGGGGGGGATGCACCGGGATGGGGGGTGGGGGGTGGTGGGGAGGGAGCCAAACACCGACTGTCTCGAGCTCCGTCATCAGTGCGAACATCGCGAGCGCGCACTGCTCGAACGCCTCCTCCAGCCGAGTGCCCCACGCGTGCAGCTGCACGTCCGCGGTGTGGTCGAGGGGTGCTCCCAGGTACACCTTATCCGCAGATCTCAACCGTGGAGAGACGCGGCCCACAAGCAATGTAGCCGAGCTGCGTCCCAGGCGCACGGCGCGTCAGCCAAGTGCCATGCCTGCTCCGCCTCCGCCGCACCGTCGCCCTCTCCGCCCCCCTCCCCCCCCGACCTCCGCGACCTCTCTCTGTAAAATTATTTATTGGACGAGCCTCGAGCGTGTAAACTTCCGTCCATGAAAGTCCAGTGTTGTGATGTCACTACTCACATCACATGCCCGCTCCGGCGCTCGCCGAGCCGCGACCAAAAGTGGCAAAACCGCCCATGCCGTGCGTGTGGAGCTTGGCGCCAAAGCGCAAGGCGGCAAGGCCGAAGGCGGTGATCCGACCTTATGTGAACACCGACCTGATCCGACCCTGTTAGGTTTGAACAAGGTCGGAACAGGGTCGGATCAGGGTCGGAACAGATGAGCTGCCCCACGTATGGCCCTTTTTCCCGACCTTGTTCCGACTCTGGTCCGACCCTGATCCGACCGTGTTCGGCAGCGTTCGAACACGGTCGGAACAGGGTTGGATCAGGGTCGGAACAGATGAGCTGCCCCACGTACGGCCCTTTTTCCCGACCTTGTTCCGACTCTGGTCCGACCCTGATCCGACCGTGTTCGGCAGCGTTCGAACACGGTCGGAACAGGGTTGGATCAGGGTCGGAACAGATGAGCTGCCCCACGTACGGCCCTTTTTCCCGACCTTGTTCCGACTCTGGTCCGACCCTGGTCCGACCGTGTTCGGCAGCGTTCGAACAGGGTTGGATCATACCATGATCCGACCGCACGGACGGGCACAGCATGATCCGACTCTGTTCCGACCGTGATCCGACCTGATCCGACCGGTCGGAACAGGGGTCAGCGGCGGCGGGAGGGAGGGATTTTCCCGACCTTGTTCCGACTCTGGTCCGACCCTGATCCGACCGTGTTCGAAGTGAACACGGTCGGATCAGGTCGGTGTTCAAGAGAGGTCGGATCAGGGTCGGAACAGGTCAGAGTCATACCCTCTTGGTTGGGCACAAATAACTGAAGTTTAGAAAAAGAAAAACATCATCCGAGGGCCCAACTTCAGAATCGTGCTTTGAGTGGGGTTGTTTGGTGTTGGGTTGGGTTGGTTGAGTTGGTTGGGTTGACGGTTGTTTGTCCGAGTTGGGTTGGGGTGTTTGCGTTGCGGCAACGGCGTTTTGGGTTGTGTCCGAGGAGGCCACCGGCCAAAAGCGCATGTCTTGAAGGTCCGATACTGGAAGCCCATATAGGCACCTTACAGGTTGTTCCCTCCCCGGCCCCCCTGCCTGGTTCCCGTACACCCTCCCCCTCCCCGCGCGCAGCGCGGCCTCCGCAGCGGCGCGCAGCGCCGCTGCACCCCGCCGGCGGCGCCGCAGGAGGCTCGACAGAGCCCCTCGCACTAGCCACGATGACACACTAGAGCCGGGGCGGCCTTAGGCCCACCTTTTATCCCCAAACACACGCCACCCCGCTAGTTCTAGCATCGTTCGCCCCGTCCAGGGGCAGGCTGCCATGCCAGCGCTCCCATGCACAACCCAACCCAACCCAAAAAGCACGATTCAAAGTCCATACCGCCGCCTGGGTTCGGACTTTTTGCGGGGTATGGTACGGTAGTCTCACGCAACCCACCTCGAGACCATACCCCCCGCCTGCTGACAGACCCAGCCTCCCGGAGACCGGGGATGGGCGGTCAGGACCATACCCCCCCACCCTTTGCCTGACCATACCATACAGTTGAGAGAGAGAGAGCGGAAATTTTGGTGAGTCGTCTCAGTCTCTCACGTGAATTCGTCCCTGTCTCACCCTCAGCGTCTCAGCGGTGTCTCAATAGATCCATCACTCCGTCTCACTTCCGTCTCACTTCCGTCTCTGACTGCCTTCTCGTCCGTCTCAGCGCGGCAGGCTCCCGAGAGTGCCGAGATTGCCCAAGATAACCCGTGCAACCTCATGAGGTGGTCGGGGCAGTGTGCCAGGCGCCCGAGAGTACCCGAGATCGCCCTCGTGATGTGGTCTGATGTGCAGTGGTCACCTCGGGGCAGTGGCAGGAGCCCAAGCACGCAACCTCGGGCAATCTCGGGTATTCTCGGGCGCCTCCCACTGCCCCGACCACATCACGACGGTGCACGGGTACTCTCGGGCAATCTGGGCACTCTCGGGCGCTCTCGGGCGCTCTTCGGGCACTCTCGGGAGCCTGTCGCGCTTGAGACGGACGAGAAGGCAGGAAGAGACTGTCGCTGAGCATTGAAGTGAGACGGAGTGCATGGCTCTATTGCTACACCGGTTACACTGCAGGAACTATAGACGGAACTGAGACGGAAGCCAG